AATGACCGGAGCCACTGCAAAACAGTACCTCCAAGACCCATCCCCGCGAGGCGTCCCAGAAGGATACCGTGGTCGACGGTATCGAAGGCCGCTGAGAGGTCCAGCAGCACCAACAGGGACACACTCCCCCTGTCGAGCTCCCGGCGCAGATCATCCACTAAGGCGACCAAGGCTGTCTCGGTACCATGCCCCGGCCTAAAGCCAGACTGTGCCGGATCCAGATAATCCGTGTCTACCAAGAATACCTGGAGTTGTGAGGCCACCACACGTTCCAAGACTTTGCCCAAGAAGGGGAGATTGGAAACTGGCCGATAGTTGTCGAATTTAGTGGGGTCCAGTGATGGTTTCTTCAACAGCGGTTTTATTATAGCTTGTTTTAAGCTCGCTGGAATCTTGCCTTCCCGAAGGGAAGCATTAACCACCACCTTAACCCACTCAGCCAATCCCCCTCTGGCCTCCTTTAGAAGCCAGGATGGGCAGGGGTCCAGGATGCATGTGGTTGGCCTCATTCCTCCAAGTATCTTGTCCACATCCTCGGGTTTCACCAATTGAAATGAATCCATCAAAACTGGACAAGCAGGTGTTCGTGTTACATCCTCAGAGACTGCCATTAACATGGTATCCAGACCAGAACGGATCAAAGCGACTTTGTCTGTAAAGAACTGAGCAAAAGCTTCACAGCGAGAAGTCGAATCGTCAGGGTTCCCACCTTGAGTGGTGGGATTTAAAAGGCCTCTGACAATTCGGAACAGCTCAGCCGGACGGTTCTTTGCAGACGCAATAGTGGCCGCAAAGAAGGCCTTCTTTGCGGCTTTTATTGCCGCGGCATATGCCCTTAAAAAGGACACAAACCGTGTTCGATTTGGCTCACTCGGATCCGAACGCCACACGCTCTCTAGTTCCCTCTTCTTTCGCTTCAACGCTGCCAGCTCCTCAGTAAACCAAGGAGCTGGTTTAGCTCGGCTACTTGAGAGGGGGCGTTCCGGAGCGATCGTGTCTATTGCCCTAGTCATCTCCCCATTCCAGAGAGTGACCAGGGCCTCGACAGGATCACCTACCGAGGCGGCGGGAAACTCCCCAAGAGCCATCAGGAATCCATCCGGATCCATAAGCCTCCTGGGGCGGACCAACTTAATGGGTCCTCCACCTCTGCAGAGGTTAGGGGGCGCAGTGAGCCTAAATCTGACCAGGAAGTGGTCGGTCCATGGCAACGGAGAGATGGTCAGCTCCTCGACCCCACCACCTTCCTCCCATCCCTGGCAGAAAACCAAGTCCAATGTATGTCCTGCACTATGAGTGGGGCCAGATACTTGCTGGGACAGCCCCATGGTTGCCATGGCAGACATGAAGTCCTGAGCCGCTCCTGAAAGGGCCGCCTCTGCATGGACATTGAAGTCCCCCAGCACAAGGAGGCGCTGGGATTCCAATGCCAGTCCTGAGACCACCCCCGCTAGCTCAGGTAAGGAGACTGTAGTGCAGCGAGGTGGGCGGTACACTAACAGAATCCCTATTCTGTCCCGGTCACCCACCCTCAAGTGGACACATTCAAAATTTGTTGACTGCGGGATGGGGCCCCTGGTCAGAGGGATGGAATTTCTATAGACCACTGCAACCCCGCCTCCCCGCCCTCCGGATCTCGGCTGGTGCTGCACGGAAAAACCTGGTGGGCAAAGCTGGGTCAAATTCACGCCTCCCGCTTCGTCCAACCAGGTCTCCGTGATGCACGCCAGATCTGCCCGCTCATCCAGGATTAAGTCTTGGATGAAAGTTGTTTTTCCATTGACAGATCTGGCGTTCAACAGCACCACCTTCAATCCAGAGGGACCGCCATCCTGGTTACACCAGTTTACCATATCAGGAGACCGGTGTTTTGGCCTTCAACTCCCAGAAATCCTAACAGCAAGTAAACTGCCTGGGATTTCTGGGAGTTGTAGGCCAAAACAACTGGAGACCCACAGGTTGGGAACCACTGCTTTAAAGGATCTGGCCAGGGAGCTTAATCTATTTTGAGGTAGGGTCTATGACCATGGAGAGCTCGTTTTGGAGTTTAGACTCAACAGATTCACTCAATGGCAGGGAATCCCCAGCTGCTGCTGCTGCGACCAATTTTTTAGTCATTTCACGAGTGACACATTGAACTGAACGTATAGTCTCCCGTTCTTTATATCCATCTTCCTGCCCTTCTTGTCTATGGCTTCTGTAAACAGATATGCATATTTCAAGATGCTTCAGAAGGAGTGGAAGTAGCACACTTGAAACACATTTTATGTCATAGGAAAGCAAGTGCAATCATAAGATATGAGAGCTTCCAAAAGAACAGCAATAATTTCATAATTTTGCATGTTAACGGTGTCAAGTAGTTGGGTTCTTGGTTACATCCCATCTGCCACCTTTGTTGGGTCATTAAGATGTTTTTTTTTAAAAAAAAAAAAAGATGAGATAAGTAGCACCCTCAAGCTAATGAATGTCAAATTATTAGCATAAACATGCCACCTTGTATTTCTTTTCTCCCCTCCTTACAAAAACACTATTTCTCTGTTTTGCTTCCCGTTTTAATGGCTCTAATTTATCACATTAACTAGTGCTGCTATTTTTCGCCTAGACATCTGTGAGGGGGGCAGTTTCAGGTAAAAATAAACACATACGTGAAATCTTTACTAACTGCTACTACCAAAAAAAAAAAAAAGAACACAGAGAGGTTCTGTGTATTTGCCATCTGCCGCTCTGGTTTAATTGGGTTTATCAACCTCAAATAATATTTCAGTGAAGCTTTTATTGAGCAGGCGACAACCAAAAGGCATCTGGTTTTAAAAATAAGCACAGCAAGCTTGAAGTTGATGGAAAATATGACAGGCAGCCTATACACTTGCACACATATAAGTATGTGCCATATAAAGAAACCCGTTTTCCTGGAAAGCCAATAAGAGCTGGGAATGAGGTCTGCTCAGCCACTGGATCAAACTGAATTCCATAAACTACTCTACTGGCTGGTTCTGTTCCTCTATAACATATCACTGTGTTTCTAAACTGCCTCAGACAAGGCAATTTGGTATCTCTCAGATTTGGTTCAGGGATTCACAGTTTTTGCTAAAGCTTCAATGTATATGTATTCACCAGAAGTGCAAGATTTTCTGAACTCATAGAGAAAAAACTGATTTTTTCAGAAAGAGGGAGCAAATAGTTTAGGAGTGGGAATGAAAAATGTAACCTTAGGGCACTTTTTCAGATTTTAAATCAAGATATTATTTTAGGAAAATAAAAGCAACGTATCTCTAGTTATCATAGGCTGGCATAAAATTATCCTGTCAAAGATACTGGAAATTGTATGCATTCAACATATAATTACCAAATGAGTATTTGTTTTTTTAATTACAAATGGAACTACAAAATCCTGAACTGTAAGCAAAACACGAACAACAACAACAACAACAACAACAACAACAACAACAACAACAACCTTTATTTATACCCCACCACCATCTCCCCAATGGGGACTCGAGATGGCTTACATTAGGCCAAGCCCATCAATGCAATACAATAAAATCAAATCAAATCAAAACACAAAACAACAGCATAGTAAAATTCATAAAAATACAGTAAACAATATAAAATTACAATAAAATCCTTCACAATCACAGTGACAATGAGCGGGCCGCATGTACAGGATAAAATACTAAAAGCTAAAAACTCGGGGTGAAATAGAGATGGAGCAGATTGTTTGTAGGAGAGAAGCTCACCAAAAATGGGGTCATGAAAAGGACCTTCATATAGGAGGGGGAAAGTATACTATAGAGACAAACGTTGAGGGGGAGTGGCAATATAAGACTGAATGGTTACTCTCCAAAAGCGAATGGTTACACTCCAAAAGCACCTTTTACAGCACAATCTGTAAGAGACTTCTTTGGTTTTGTTACTGTGAGGAATTGTCAAAATGCTCACATAAAATAGAATAAATCATCAACATTAGTGACTGATACCAGATGAGAAACTCTCCCCAGGCACACAGAAGACTGGGTGGCTTAGAAAGTGCTGAACAGTCTGTGCTCTATCACCATGAGATGCAGAGTTAAGAAATGGGGCTACAAAGTGGAGTCCACAGCATGGGGTGTGAGAAAAGCAAACCACAGATCACTTACTACAATGCAGTCTGAGCCCTGGCACTGCACAACAGAGGACCTTCTTACAGTGACACCAGAGGCACTCCAAGTGGTCAAAGGAAATTTAGTATAATGCCAAGTTTTCAACTTTGTTTGTGGTTTTTCTATACTTTTAAACTGTATTCTCAATTTGCTTCTGACACGATAAGTAAATAAAAATCAACATTAGTCAAACAGACTATTTTGTCTCTCCTAGTACTTTGTAGTGGTAGGAGATGCAGCACACTTATTCCCATAAAATGAATGTAAAAAAACCAAAACCAGGAGTAATCTGATACTGTACACAGATGCACATAAAAAGCCATCTTCTTACACAGTTTTTAGAATTGATTTTGGTGCAGTATATATGTGAACACCTTTTCCAAAACATTTCATGGACTATTCCAGGAGAAAATACGCAAATGTTAAGTATTAGCAATTACAAAAAATGGAAAAACGAATGGAAAAACATTCCCTGCATATTGTTCTTTATTTTTTCCTAGGTCTTCACACCTCTAATCAGGACATCTCCACACAATTAATGTGTATCAAAAATACTTCTAGCAATCTAGGAAAAAATTATACATGTGGCTTATCAATAAAATACACAATAGATGGTGACAATGGTTACACAAAAATGGATGCATATGTATACTGCTCCAAAGGCGTATTTTCCAAGCTAGAACTTGAAACACAATAGAAACTTATGACAGAGACATTGCCAGAGACGAAAAGGAATAAGTAAATCTCTAGCCGTATAGTTTGGCACTGCAGCACTACCTAAAAATCCCTGTGAGCCTCCATGTCAATATGATAGCAAATGTCTGCTCACTTATATTTTCAATGAAAGCAGATAAGACTTACCCGTAAAAAAGAGAGATCTCGATTATGTTCAATGCTGGTGATCTCTAGGTTTCCCATTACCACCTCACAGTTCTCATAATATTTGCGCAGTGCCCGATACTGTTGCTCAAGATCAGACAGCGAGCTCAGCTTGTTTTCAGTGCCAGCACAAACTGCAAAAGTTTACAAAAGAGAGAATGAAGTAAATAAATGATTAGATCTCATATAAATATAATATAGAAGCAAAACAACAACTATGAACAGACGTTGTGTACAAAGTATAATTGATTCCCAAAGCCCATGCATCCTTATTTGTATTATTTCCGGAAAAAAAGATCATTAAAACAAATATTACCCATGATCCAGCAAGTTCATTTAGAAAGAAGAAAAAAATGTCAGAAATTGATCTCTCAATTTCTTGGTTTAGGAAATCATCCAGCCTGTAGCATGTCAAAATGATGAATAATACCTGCTTCTGAAACTTCGCCTACATTTTCAAGAATAGAATGAAATTTTATATTAAAAAAGAGTAAGATTCACTGTACTTTTGTGATCTACATTAATGCCCTCTGCGGAAATAGTATCAAAAGTAGTATTTCAAAGGCAGCACATGCTACAGTTGAATTGTAACAAATTGTATTTATGCCTTCTCTGAAAGTATAGGGCTCCGATATATAATAGTAATTGATATATGAGATGATCTTATGTTCACAAAACTGCACATCATGTATAACTTTCTGTCACATAGCTACCCGTATTTACTCGAGTATAATGCACCATCAAATCTAATGTGCACCTCAATTTTCAAAACCCTGAAATCCAAAAAAGTGGTTACCATATTACACAATTCTAATGCACCCCTAATTTTGGGAAGGGAATTTAGTCAAAAAAGGTGAGCATTAGAATTGAGTAAATCTGGTATATCATTCTTGTCTATCCAGGAAACCAACACTACCATGCATTATGTTTGTTATAAGGACCAACTCATAGTAAATACTGTTATGAATCCATCCCTAGAAACAGTCTCACAATGATAGATTAACAAAGCTTCTAGCTCTATTCTCACGTTCTGTTTTTCCTTGGAAAAAAACAAACCATAAATTGTATACCTTTCACTGTTTATTTTTGCTTGCTTTTTAATGGCACAAAAAGCGACATTTGGAGTAAGAAAATGCCCTTCCCTGATCTGCCAGCAACACTAACTGCAAGTTTGTGAACACACCTTTAAGTTATCAGTTGACTTATAGAGACCCCATGAATTTCACAGGATTTTCTAAGGCAAGGAAAACTTGGAGATGGTTTTGTCAGTTTCTTCCTCTGAAACACAGCCTACAGCACCTGGCATTGCTGGTGGTCTCCCAGCCGTGTACTATCCAGAGTAGAGACCTTCCTGAAAACCAACCAAAATAACAACTGAATGGCAAAAATGGCCATTCAGCACCCAAAGGTCTGATCACTGGATGTGAACTTCTGATATAAATCAGAACTGCACTCCCAACTTGGTGATGGTCAGGCATGTAGCCGGAGGGGGGGGGGCTTGAGGGGCTTCAGCCCCCCCCCCCCCCAAATTCTCATGGTGGTCCACGAGAAGGCCTTACTGGTGCATTATTTAAACTGTTATGTTTATTCATATCATGATCTGATCACCATACTCAATATATCCCATATGCATGGGGGTATTGGGGTAACAATACAAAAGGTTTGCTAGGGTAGACCCTCTTTCACTCAGACTCCTGGCTACGAGTCTGGTGATGGTGAAGTTCTCAGTTCAAAATGGAACTAGCTGACTACATGCACACACTGTTGGCCGATAAACACTAACAAACAAGCAAATGAGGAGTTGGCTTTGTGGTGTTTTGAACATCCTTACTCTGCTGCTCCTAACACAGAAAGGAGATGGCAGCAGCTGATGTGGGCAACAAACCTACACATTTAAGCTGGGATCGCTCTGCATTTTTACCACCATATCTCATGTGCAGCTCTAGCCTAAACCCAGAAATTTGTAAGACTTGTTCCTGGCAATATAGAAGTCAATGTAGAGTAGGCCGAGAAATGCATAGTAAAGTACCATAGGTTTTTTAATGTCTCAAATGTATATTGTGCCCAGTCTGTCCTCACACATGAGCAAGCCTGAACAAGCAAAACAAAAGGGTACATCAGCAATCATTATTTTAATTTATTTTGGAAGCAGATGGGCAAAGAAGACTGAATTATGAGTTAAACAAATCTATGTAATATTAGTAAGCATCAACCCTATCACCTGTTTGCATCAAAAGAATAAACTGAGGAAGAAATTCAGCCATCCCCACCCCAACACTGTCAGCTCTAACACTGCAAAAGGGATTGCATTGTAATCTATGGTTACACAAATAACCATACCACCAGTATTTGGAAACTGTAATCTGTTACAACAATTTTACACTCCAATCAAATAATTACAATACACGGTATCAGAACAGTCAGGAAGCAAGAAGAGCTAAACATATTTCTTTTTTCATTTTGTGGCTGAGATACCTTGAGGGGGAAAAAAACTAACATGGGCATCTCTGCCTAAAAATCCCATGGTGGATTTCACTCACTTAAAATTCAGCATATGACTCAACATTCTCACAACTCCACACAATCTGGAGAGCCTAGTAAAAGTATCAGCTGCTAAGTGCTCAAATAACTGTTTTACACAGTGTTGATATTATGTGGTTGAGGAATATCCTGTCAAAATATAGTTGACTCCACATCTTGTCCAGGAAAGTTAGTCCTGAGATTCATGCATAGATTTCACACTTAGTAAAAGTGTTGGGCAGCTGATTCCTCTGCAAGCTTTCCTTAAAGGGAGATCAATACAAGGCAAAAGCACATCCCACCCCAACTGTCCCAATGTGGAACATCCAGACTCTCTCACTTTTTTGACTGCTATTAAAATCTCCCAGTGTCTGTTTTCTCCTCCTAGTTGTTCCTCTTTAAAAATTTTGAGAATTGGTTTGGAAAAATGTTGTCTATTTTTTTTTCTCTGCAATTCATGACACTTTGGAGCAAAATGCTAAAATACAGGCAGAGCATTAAGGAGAAATTATAATCTCATTTACTGACAACTTCACTTCTGAGAAAGGATACAATCAAGGGAAGCAAAAATCCAGCAGTTATCTAGTGAGAAGTTTCAACTGCCAGGTGGAGAAAAAACCCTTCTCTAATTAATATGTGTGGCTATAATCAGAAAGTGTGACACTACTGTTTCCTTTCCAGAGGGGAGAACCTGGAAGATATAGCTAAGCATGTAAAAATGATACCTGCAGTGCTGCAAAAACACAGGCCATATTTATAATTACAAAGGCATTCTGGCTTCAATTGAGAATCGTGTCAGATTCCCGACTGGAGGTCAGAGTCATTAAGGTTCCCTGGGAGACTATCACCGCAAGTTTCATACAACCTTTTCCAACAATATGTTCTCCTGTCTCTTGGCCCTAAAAGAAAGCATATTGCTTCCCTTTCAAGAACTGCAATCAAAGCCCAAATCACCTCATGTTTGTGGAAAGGAATAAAATGGCATTTTTTAGTCAAAAATGTAAAACATTGTAAAAATAAATTTAAAAAAGTGGGACGATATAGATGCAATGGTACTCAGTCATGGAGTGGAGTGAAGGAATCACCAGAAAATCACATTTGTAAATTTCATTTGGATGGAGAAAAATAAGACTGGCTGGCAGATTTTAATGAACTCACCCAATTTGGGGTAGAAAGTGGAGGGAATCATATTCTTATCATAGTGTTTCATTTCTTTCAATTTTAAGAAAAACTGATAATATATTCTCCCCCATCACACACAATTTTCTACAGAAATCCTCCAAATTCTATCAAGTGTATTCTCCAACCATTCTGCATTATATATATGAAACTTCAAAATTGTGGAAATCATTATATTATCATTAATATTATAATTACATTTGTCAGATGTTTGATATGTAACTTAGATAATCAATTAAAAAATTAAAGTCCAATTACAAATTTGTACATTTCTCCAGGGCTTTGAGAAAGACTATCCCTGGTATTTCCAATTATTTATCATATAAAAGGGAAAGCTCAAAATTAACATGCTATGTTGAAATTGGGAAATCTCAAGTATAAAAAATGAAGTAAATATAGCTACATCACACTGGTAATATACTGAAATTGTGTAATTCCTGAAGAATAAATTATTTTTCAAAAATTACCATAAACATTTTATACAACAGCAATTAATAGCAAGAAAAGGAGCATCGAGACCACCCACAGGAATGCCCATAGTTTAAGTCATTACAAAAATCTAAAAAGGGAAATCTGAGAGTTCCCATCCCACATTAAAATAAGCAATTTTAGCCATTTTTTGCATTTATTGGGACCTCTGGAGATAATTGTTCCATGAACCCAAAAACCTCAGTTTCTGCACAGTTTAAAATGTTTTAAAGATGGTGTCCCATGGGGAAATACTGGAAGTAGTCTTGTGTCATTTGATGGGTTCAATGGGACTCCAATTTTAAAAGGTTTTTAAAGTGTGTAGAAACGGGGGAACCCTGCATCTGAAGACGTTCTAAGAAAGGTAACTTTTCTGAACACTGCTTTTGGAAAGTTTCTATAAGTGGTATTAAAAAACAAGCACCCTGAAAGTAAGGAACTAGCAGATGAGGGAGGCAGTTCAGAGACAATTATTTTCACTATTTCTCCTGGATGTTGTTCCAAAGTTGCAGGGAGTTTTTTCCTACCCCTTTGCAATCCTCTCACTTCACCTACATAAGCTTGAGATAGGCACAGAAAATGTCCCAAGCAACTGGAAATTGCTGAACAATATCTTTAGCATAGTTATCAATTCATAAGCTCTCTGAATGTGTATTGGAAAAATATAGGACCTCATCACATTTATCTTTTTTGGTGTCCTAGGACACTAAAGGGACAGTCCAAGCAATGGAGGAACACACTACCCATCATACAATGTCCTGTCAAAGCTCCACCCCCAGCCAGAGTGGAAGCATTGTAGGATGCTTCCCTCCTAACTTGGGAAGCTATTGCTTCGACGTGGCTTCCCTCATGGTATACTTCCCCCATGGAAGCTGGAGAAATGGCACCTGAGAAAGGGGGGGGGGGGGTCATCTGTGTGATGAGGTCATAAGAGATAGAAAAGTTCTTATTGTCTGGCAAACATCTT